GAACAGAGTCGCCAGCATTGCAGCGTTCTGGTGGTCATTAGCATGTTCCTAGAGGCAGGGGTAGGACGAAAATCGGGAAGACAACCACGGGAGGGGAGGGGAAGGGAGAGGAGGGAGCTCCTACTGGGTAGACGCAAATGCGCACCATATCCTGGTTTAAATAACAACCCCCGACCTTTCTGCGCAGAGAGCACACCTGGCCGTTGTCCTTTGAAACAAAACTATAAACCTACACCCCTTAAAACAGCGCTGTCTCAGGCCACGGGTCAGAAATTGCGTAGTTTTCACTGCGACTTTTGATTCGAATGCCATCTACGACAAGCTCCGACGCAACAGATCCGTTCGTGGCGCATGCATTTTGCGTCACAGTTTACCAGTGCGTGGATTTTAACTTGTGTTTCGTGCAAGTAAGCCATGAACTCGCCAACGTGTCTGCGACGGCGCAGACAAGCTCAACCGTTCAGCACGTCCGCGGAAGATTAGACAGCCAGACAGCGAAGGCGCTGCCAGCGCGCCGCCTCGCCCGGCCGGCCCGCGGGAGCGATCCTCGGCGGCCTGCAGAATGCACGCCGTGCAGCTGCTCGTACTGCGCGCCGCTTGATCGAATGAGGCCGCTCCCGGCTTGACGTGGTCCGTCATTAGGGAATGTGCCTCCGGTGATAAACATCTGTACAGGGAGTAGATAGCTAAATGTTAGCGGATCGGCGTCCGGCCTGGCCCTGCAGCTCGTCATGCCGCCGGAGGTATTCGGGCGTGCGGCGGAGCTGTCAAACGGTGCAGCTCTTTTGCATTTGCGGCGGCTTTGGTTCGCGCGGCTGGCTTAAGCCCATTCCTAGCGCACGGACGAAAAACTCCTCAGAGAGTTAGATTAGATGCCAGGGCTTTACGAATGACGAGCCGCCGGGCAGCCAAAATGGAGCAGAAGCAGAAAGAGACCGTTCAAGCCTAGTCAATCAAGTAGAAATAAGTAGGTCGTTCAACTCAAAAGAGGTCCTGCCATCCTGCAAGGCGAGAGGAAGCTTCACAAATTGGAGCCCAACTGGTGGCACTTGGTTCTGGCGTAACGGTGACTGGCATCGCGCCAGATGGCAAAATATTTACCCCCAGGCGATAGACGGATGACGTCACAACCGCGGGGCGTGGTATTCTTGCCGGATACTGTTACTAGGGCGACAGCTCTGGCTGGTGAGATGAACAGGAGTTCTTGCGTTCTTCAGGAATGCAGCAGAAGTGGGAGGTACGCATTCCCTACCGTTGTAATCTTGTTGATGCAATTTGAAAAACTGACGACGATCAAACTGATGCAATTATTCCTTACCAATGCAATCTTCAAAAATCTTGCTGTCGGGACGAAATGGAACAGAGACAGAGGCGTCGTGGGATCTGGATCGAAGGATCAGAGCGAGTGCGTGTATTGTCGGCGCAGTGCGGAAAGCTGTTTTGCCCCGAGGAGAGTGGAGACGCTTTTGGGGTAAAGTGCTGTGGTGTGTGGTCTGCTTCACCCAAGGCCAAAAGCACCAGAGCACTGGGTGCAGTCCTCTGCATGCCGCGGTAGCATCCCTTAAATTGGGCGGCCACTCAGGGTGCCCTCGGCCGTGGTATCCCTGATCCCCTGCACCATTGTCGGACAGCCACTCAGGGTGTCCTTGGGCACGCCATCTCTGATCTCCTGCGCCCTTGTCGGACAGCCACTTAGGCTGCCCTTGGGCACGGCATCTCTGATCTCCTGCGCCCTTGTCGGACAGCCACTTAGGCTGCCCTTGGGCACGGCATCTCTGATCCCCTGTACCACTGTCGCCAGCCACTTAGGCTGTCCTCGGACACGGCATCTCTGATCCCCTGCACCATTGTCGGACAGTCACTCAGGGTGTCCTCGGACGCGGCATCTCTGATCTCCTGTACCATTGTCGGACAGCCACTTAGGCTGCCCTCGGACACGGCATCTCTGATCCCCCGCACCATTGTCGGACAGCCACTCAGGGTGCCCTTGGGCACGGCATCTCTGATCTCCTGCACCATTGTCGGACAGCCACTCAGGTTGCCCTTGGGCACGGCATCTCTGATCTCCTGCACCATTGTCGGACAGCCACTCAGGGTGCCCTTGGGCACGGCATCTCTGATCTCCTGCATCATTGTCGGACAGCCACTCAGGGTGCCCTTGGGCACGGCATCTCTGATCCCCTGCACCATTGTCGGACAGCCACTTAGGCTGTCCTCGGACGCGGCATCTCTGATCCCCTGCACCATTGTCGGACAGCCACTCAGGGTGTCCTCGGACGCGGCATCTCTGATCCCCTGCACCATTGTCGGACAGCCACTCAGGGTGTCCTCGGACGCGGCATCTCTGATCCCCTGCACCATTGTCGGACAGCCACTCAGGGTGCCCTCGGACACGGCATCTCTGATCCCCTGTACCATTGTCGGACAGCCACTCAGGGTGTCCTCGGACGCGGCATCTCTGATCCCTGTACCATTGTCGGACAGCCACTCAGGGTGTCCTCGGACGCGGTATCCCCGGTTCTCGGCACTATTGTCGTCTTGTTATAATCCTGTTCTGTATTGTCCCGGCGCACCGGACTCTCTAGCCCGGCGCCTGTTAACATGCATTCCTTTGACTCGAAGTAGGTCTTTGCTTTTGCTGTGCCTTTGATCCCGGTCAAGGCATCCTTCACGAGGCCGTGGTCTTGCGCTCGGGTGGGGGTGAACCGGCCCTCCGAAGGTTTTCAGGATGATTTCCGAAAGGCACGGCGTAGCCGTGCGCAAATTATGCGCAGATGTAGGAAATTGAATAGCAGATATACTGCCGTACAAAATTAAGATTAATCTTGTAAGGTCGCTGATCTATGTCAGGTCAAAAGCAGGCCACGGCTTTCAGCGAAGGGCATTTCTAGGAAATCGCGGAATGTGATGCAGCAACTGAGCGCTTGACGGAGCCACACATCTGAGATAGTTTCTTAGGCAATAAACCATTTGAATTTAGAGTTACAACCAATTCCATTGACGTGGGATCAGGCATAAAGATCAGGACAAGGTCAAAACCAAGCTGCTTTCCACTTGAAAGCTTGGTTTTGTTAAGTAGTTTCTGGTGCTCATTTCGAGATTTTTGATGATGGGAACCGCAGAAGACCTGTTCCATCTGCTTTTTTTTTGTTTAAATTCAGAGTAGGTCACTGATCTAGAATGACACAAGTCACCATTTTGTTTTATGAACATAATGCCCACCGTAATCCCTGACGTTTATTCGAAAGACTAAATACGACCAATATAGTAGATATTTTGTCACCTCAACCTTAAAAGTGTAAAAAAGATCACTTCCCTCATTGACCGTTTGCTTAGAACTGGTATCTAGGTACCTGACGGCTGCATGACGAGGTCTAGTGACCTTTAAGACACCAATCTAAAGTCTGACCTTTTTGGACCTGGTTGGACATCAAGTTCATAACCTAGAAAATTCAAATTCTGACCCAGGTGGGTTCATGTGCAGTTCAATATACGCTGTGGATCTGGTTACCTTAGTTTTTTGGCTCTTATGGCAGCCAAATTGACCCCACCCCAACGAAAGTTATGAAGCCGGCCACCCGGGCGCGTGTTAAGTATCTGTGGCTCTCTCTTCACCCATAACGATGAACGCCTGGCTTCCAGATATCCCCAGCCCCCCTGCACCCCTGCATCTCTGCACCCCCGGTCCCGTCCCCCGTCCCCCGTGCATTCTGTCGCCAACGCAGCCAGCTGACTGTGCCACGATCCCTGACGCCCGCTCCATCATATGTTTCCTGCACCCCTATGCGCGCCCACACTCTCGTCCCCGCTGCTTCCTCCCATGGTCGGCAGTTCGCCGGGTCACCCTGAAAACTCCTGGTCTGCCGTAGTTCGTGCGGCGCGACGGTGCCCTCGCGTCAGGGGGCCGGACCGTCCGCAAAAGCGCTGGCAATCGCGCGGCACGCGGGGTGCTCTCGACCGAAAAGCCTCCCGTCTGATTGGATTGGATAACGAAATGGGACGCGGCAGGCGATGGGGTGTTGAGTTCAGCCTGAGTTGCAGCCAGGGTAGACGGCCCAGCGGCAGAGCCTGCCCTGGACCGCCTGCCCGGGCTCACTGGCTCAGTTGGGAGCCTGTCCTGGACTGCCTAACCGTGCTCACTGGCTCAGTCGGGAGCCTGCCCTGAACCGCCTATCCGTGCTCACTGGCTCAGTTGGGAGCCTGCCCTGGGCCGCCTAACCGTGCTCACTGGCTCAGTTGGGAGCCTGCCGCACCGAAGCAGGCCCCCGTCTGAGACCTTGTCTTGCGATGCTGGAGCGCAGAGCGGGAGTTAAAGGTTATCTGAATCCTCGGACATTCCGGGAGTCGGGAAAGCGACCCGTTTGGGTTGCCGTGGTTTGTCGCTCCGCAAGTTTCTCAAGAACTCTTGGCAACTAGGTGCCCCGGGACTCGAAGTAACTGGGTGCCTGTGGACCATTTTTGCCTCATGGCTACCGGCATTGATAAGGTATGCTTTAAGGGTCCTCAAAATCCATGATAAGCAAGATACTTGGATATTCAAAATCATTGGAAGATGTGTATCTCCAAGACATCTGCGAAAGCTCACGATCATAAAACAACTAAGGACCCTCAGAGCAGCTTACCTATGGAAGCCTGAAATATAATGAGCATTATTTTCTTCGCGATTTTGTAGCCATGTTTCTCCTTACGGTGGAGTCACAGAGGCAACGAAGCAAACCGCGACACTGCGCCACGCAACGCGGCACACTTCTCCACTCAGGCTGTGCACTATCTGCCGCAAACATCCACCTCGCTACCCACGTGCACCAACAGCTCTAAGCATATGAGAATGGCAACAAGCACCGCATCATACCGTTGCAACACCAGCTTCTCCGTCTTCTCCGTCATCTACTGCTGCCTCGTCGTGACGAGACCGGCCGCGGCCGCGCTGGCCAATTGGCGGCAGCCTGCTGGCGTGACGGCATGGGAGCGTGACAGCTGGGTCCGTCGGGTCGTTGCAGGGTCCGTGCGTGACGCCGGGCTGCGTGACGGTGGCGCACAGGCTGCTGCGGTACCGGCAGCCGGCCGCCTCGCCGTGCCAAGACTTCCACGAGCACGCGTGTGGCGGCTGGCTGCGGCAGGTGCGGCAGCTGGGGCTCGCCGACGGCGACAAGGACTACGCGGCCAACGTTGACCCGCGTCAGGGCGCCGTCAACTGGAAACTGCAGCGTGAGTGTGCCGTGGGTTTGCCTTGAGTTAGCGGTGAGTGTGCCGTGGGTTTGCCTTGAGTTGGCGGTGAGTGTGCCGTGGGTTTGCCTTGAGTTAGCGGTGAGTGTGCCGTGGTTTTGCCTTGAGTTAGCGGTGAGTGTGCCGTGGGTTTGCCTTGAGTTAGTGGTGAGTGTGCCGTGGGTTTGCCTTGAGTTAGCGGTGAGTGTGCCGTGGGTTTGCCTTGAGTTAGTGGTGAGTGTGCCGTGGGTTTGCCTTGAGTTAGCGGTGAGTGTGCCGTGGGTTTGCCTTGAGTTAGCGGTGAGTGTGCCGTGGGTTTGCCTTGAGTTAGCGGTGAGTGTGCCGTGGATTTGCCTTGGGTTTGCGGTGCGTGTGCCGTGGGTTTGCCTTGAGTTAGCGGTGAGTGTGCCGTGGGTTTGCCTTGAGTTAGCGGTGCGTGTGCCGTGGGTTTGCCTTGAGTTTGCCGTGCGTGTGGCGTAAGTGTGCCGTGGGTTTGCCTTGAGTTTGCGGTGCGTGTGGCGTGAGTGTGCCGTGGGTTTGCCTTGAGTTTGCCGTGCGTGCAGCGTGAGTGCGCCGTGGGTTTGCCTTGAGTTAGCGGTGCGTGTGGCGTGAGTGTGCCGTGGGTTTGCCTTGAGTTAGCGGTGCGTGTGGCGTGAGTGTGCCGTGGGTTTGCCTTGAGTTTGCGGTGCGTGTGGCGTGAGTGTGCCGTGGGTTTGCCTTGAGTTTGCGGTGCGTGTGGCGTGAGTGCGCCATGGGTTTGCCTTGAGTTTGCGGTGCGTGTGGTGTGGATGTACCGTGGGTTAGGCCTGAGTGTGCCGTGGGCTTAGCTCAAGTGTGCGGTGCGTCTGCTGTGAGTGTGCCGTGTGTTCGATGTGGGTGTGCTCTGCGTGTGGTGTGTGTGTGTGCAGCGGGTGTGACGTGAGTCTGAGTGTCGGTGCGGTGGAATGTGCTGTAAGTTTGATGCGAATGGCCTTGAGTTTCGTTTGAGTGTGCCGTGGGTATGGTGTGAGTGTGCCGTGGGTTTGGTTTGAGTATGCTGTGCGTATGGCGTGAGAAGGTCGTGGTTTAGTATAAGCGGGCCGTGAACTTGGTGTGCTGTATCATTAGTCTGGTGTAAGCGAGCCGTGAACTTGGTGTGCTGTGTCATTAGTCTGGTGTAAGCGAGCCGTGTACTTCGTCGAAACGTACTGCGGAATGCTCCGAGAGTATTGTCGTTCATTGCTTGTGTGCCATGGTGTTGCGGTGAGTGCGCCATGGGCGAAGGATGGAGATGGGTGATCAATATTCTGAACCCTTTCACTCACGGTGGGGTGGGGGGGGGGGTGAGGATTTGCACCCCCATTGACATTCTTGAGAAATGGTGGTGATCGGCTATGGCTCCCGAGTTAGAGTTAATGATAGTTTCTTCTGTGATCTTCAGTATCATTTTCCGCATAAGTTCGGCATGCACTCTAGAGTGTTGACGTCCAGATTATTTTAGGTTTGTGGCGTTAGTCAGATTTAGTCTAAGCACGCAGTGACCAAAATGCCGATGAACTGTAAGCATTCCGGCAGTGCGGTGTAATGTGGTCCTCCTGTGGCTAGTTCTATAAACGTGTTATCAGAGAGCTCCATTCCTTCACCCTCTAGTGTCATTTTGAGCCCTAAGGTCACCATGGGTCACGCACCTAATTTGGCCTAAATGTCCGCATTTTTGAAACATCAGTGCACCATTGTTGGTATTTGTCGGCCTCGGTTGGCATTTCATTGAGTAATATCTAATTGCTTATTATCATTACACACCTCAAGTGGTAACAATAAACCCCCAAAATCGTATTGAGACAGAAACCGCACTAACATTACGCGACTGTGATACCTGGTCTACGGTTGCTTGCAGTGGTGGCAAGTGCACATAATAGCTTACGAAATGGGATTCCGTCGGTTCTGACACCACTCACACCTGCTTCCGGTCAAAAAGAAACATCTCAGACAAACGCACTTCTCGTTGAAAGCAAACACGGATAACCTCGATGACTGATTGACCTGTTTCCAGCATTCTTCGTTAGTTCGAATTATATATATATATATATATATATATATATATATATATATATATTGCCGTACTTATAGCATATTAGACAATCAAGTCTACTGCATGGAGCCTCATGAGGCAGCACGTGTAGAAAATCCAGCGAGATAGGAACAAATGTCATTTGATAGGAATATCACCTTGACCTCGAACAACAAAATGGCCTGGCTAAATCATACTGGGCTTTGCATGAGCTATCGAACGGCGCTGCGTTCGTCTCTCCAGCTTTTCCCAACGTTTAGATAGCCGGTGTTGGAAGCATCGCTTCCGTCTTGACAAAGCTGGCACACGCCATTGCACGTGTGCGGGTTAAGACGTCTCTTTTTATGCGACGGCCTATACGTTACTATACATTATACAGTTCTCATTCTTTGGAGTGAACCCCAGTGTGATGTGACTGCTTGATGTGAGTGTGCAGCAGGCGATCACTGAGCCGTGGGATTATGCATGCATGTGTGTGTGTGTGTGTGTGTATGTGTGTGTGTGTGTGTGTGTGTGTGTGTGTGTGTGTGTGTGTGTGTGTGTGTGTGTGTGTGTGTGTGTGTGTGTGTGTGTGTGTGTGTGTGTGTGTGTGTGTGTGTGTGTGTGTGTGTGCTGTGTGTGTGTGTGGTGTGTGTGTGTGTGTATGTGTGTGTGTGCGTATGTGTGCGAGTTTGTGTGCGAGTTTGTGTACGAGCGTGTACGAGTGTGTACGAGTGTGTACGAGTGTGTACGAGTGTGTTTGACTCACTAGATCCCGTATCGTTGCACCCCATGCCAGCCGGCTTAACAGCCATGTTTCGTATTAGTTCTCCGCGTTTTTGTGCCCGTAATGCAATATTTTTTTTCAGATTTGCTGACGTCAGCTAAATACGAATCGCTGCCGGAGTTTCTGACAGCACAGCAGCTGTACAAGTCCTGCCTACGAGGCACACCGGGAAATGATGCTGAAGTACACCTTTCAGGTGCATGTGGCATAAAATAACAATAAATGGTATATAATGCATATATATATATATATATATATATATATTATGTATATTGTGCATAATATATATATATATATATATATATATATATATATACATATATCATTTCAACTGTTTAGACATGCGGACCTGTCAACTCGGGCATTCCCACCGTGTTGTACGACGTGTCAAACCTGTTTCCCCAAAGTGCAGATTCGCAGCATATAGTTAAGACAGTACTAATAGTCCCATCCCTCGTAGAATAATAATGATAATGGGAGATAGATAGATTGATGTGTCGGCTACATGCCCTTACTAAAATAGATATCAGTATCACAAGTGATAATTACTACTGGCTGACTGATTCCACGGGGAATAAGGCCATTGGTACTGTCTTGTCTCTATGAATATTGCTCCTCGCTAATGCACTTGACAAGTTACAGACTCATAGTAAACCTAAATCTCGATTTTATCATGAGCAATCTGACCCATAGATTTGAGCATAACGATAGGCGCACCGTGAAACACCAACTATTGAAGGAACGAGGCTCACGCCCCCAACAGCGTTGCAACATGTTCTCCATCCTGATTCGCCGAACATTATTCCTCCTGTTGTCATCCCCATATTGCATTTATACTCTCGGCTTCACCCTCATCACAGCGTATGTTGTATTCTACACAGGCTATATAGTAGGAATTGGCGCTATGGTATTTTTCTTTTAAAAAAGCAACGTGACGCACGCTGGCACCCTTTTCATTGGAGCGCCAGCGATCACAGCATCGAGGTAAACATGAACAACATCATCCACTGGTGTGCGCAAAAGGTCAGCCTTGAATAATCTCAAGTAAGAGAGTGAATGGACAGTCATATGACTTTCAGCAAACTCACCTGGGAGTCTAAGTCACTACCCGCTCCGCTAGTACGCCCCAACAAGTGCCCCCCCCCCCCCCCCAGCCCCCATCCCCCACAAAGGCCCCCTCACCCCCACGGTCGCGTTCCTAAACCCAACGACCCCCACGTCCCCTTCCCAAAGAAACACACTGAACGTCGCAGCCACACAACCTCCGTGACCTCCGTGACCCCGTGCCCCGGGCTGACCTGCAGTGGAGCACGTGTTCTCGCAGCTGCTGGGCGGCTTCCGGAGCGCCGCCAACTGGTCCCAGCAGCCGGTCGAGCTGACCCAGGTGCTGGTCCAGCTGCACCAGCTGCTGGGCGCGCCGCTGTTTGAGCTGCGCCAGGAGCGGGACCCGTACGACAGGAGGCGCTGGGCTTTCGTCCTGACCCCGCCTGACATCGGCCCCTTGCGCGGTACCGGCTGGCAGCGGCGTGCCTTGCGAGCAGCAACACCGGTGAGAGACCAGGCATGCTTGCATTCACATGCGCCCGGGTGGCCGGTTGAATACCTTTTGCTCGGGCAGGGTTGGGGATGGGGTCAATTCGCCCCCTCCTCTCCGATGAGATCTCAGAAACTAAAACAACTTGAAAGAAAAATTCACGTTGGATTGGCCTATACGTGAAATCACTTGCTTCAATATTTAGGGCCTTTGGCCATGACTGTGTGGTCAGATAAGGTCAAAATCCAGATTGGTGTCTCAAGTGCCACTAGACCTCCTCAGACAGCCGCCGTGAGGCCAAATACCTGTTCTAAGCAAACGGTCGCTAACGTTAGTGACCTTATCTTACACTTACATTGTCAAGATGACCAAATACCAGCTAGATTGTTCCTATTTTGTCATTCAAATAAGAGTCAGGGATTGCGCTAGGCGGCATGTTCCTTAAGGCGAAATGTTCTTAAGGCAAAAAGGCCGGGTCACTCAAGGTTACTGACTTACAATGGGCTTTAAAAGCCCATGGAACATTTCTCTAGACACGTTTTTTCCAGAAACGTTTCCCTAGAAATACCATTCGCTGACAGCCATTGCCTGACTTTGACCTGCCATAGGTCAGCGACCTTGCAAGGCACGTCTATTTTTGACATCAAAAGACCGCTATTTAGTTATTGATAGCTGTGCAAATTTTAGGCGGTAATGACGCGCCGTTCAGGAATTACTCTGAAAACCTTCGAGGGAGGGGGTAGACAATTGGACCGCCACCCGAGCGTGTGTAAATGTTACGCAATCGTGTGTTGTTAATGTAAGGTAAACCTAAACGAGAACATTCATGTGAGGTAATGGTAAGTTCGGCATTCATGGATGCGATTAAGACCATTACATCATACAATTACCTGACTCGCGTTCTGATAACTCATAACAGTTGAACACAGCACATGCATGCATTTTGAAACTGAACACACTATGCCATATGCCAAGGCAAATGCAAAGGCATACAGTCGAAACACTTCCATTAAGCTAAAAAGTACGGCTTTTGACCGGGAGGCCAAGCTCTCATCAGCCCTCAGAGGGAGCCTTGTACGGGCTGACAGGAAACACCGACAAAGCGATAAGGAGTCGATAAGGAGGAGGAGGAGAGCGATAAGATCTAGATACGGAGAGAAGTAAGAATAAGGGGTAGGAGTCCCCGACCAGAAATCCTACCAGACGCGCCATTGTGATATTTGCCATTGAGCTAAACACATCAGCCTCTGACTGCCTGAGGCGCACTCGCAACTGTTGTACACTGTTGTGTACCATAAACCAACAGTGAATTAGTGCTCAATACACAATACACAATACGCATGTAGGTAGGCTGCCCTTCGCAGTGCGCATGCAATCAGGACAAAGCCTGTGATGCGTAATCACATACGAGTTCGTCGCGAATGCTTCTCAGTATCCTGGAATGTCCCGGCATCCTGGAATACAAGGGCTTTTAAAGCGATGCGAGCATACTGTTTTAGTCACCAGCGATTCAGTGATTTTGCAGAAATAAATCGAAACTTATGTGAACAATCTTCATATTCGATATGGACTAGGCCACTCCAATAACGCATGCAGCACGTCTTCATGAAATGACATTCTTTTAAACAATCGTTTGGACTATTTGTTTTTTTAAAGACATTGCAAGTTCAAAGTTATTATGTGCAATAATGATATTAAATTTACCGGAATATGCTCGCTATACCTCGCTGTAACCTTAAGTTAACATTGTATGAACGATATTCAACATATCGAGTCGATCTAACCCTCTTGAGGAATCCTCTTTAGAATGAGCACAACACGAATTATTGAGTGCCGCTAATATAAACGCTATTTTGCGCTACAACGTCGCTTCGCCACCATCTCCTTGTGAGCGGAGGGCTTCGAACTCGACATAAAAACTTTGAGATCCTCGTGTCGAAAAACAAGGAGCTGAAGGCCGTTGTTAAGTTAATACACCGGTTTATGCTAGGTTTACCTGAACGCATGAACAAATTCACGACGGCTAAACTAAAGCGGCCAGATGTCAGCGCTTCCATATGAATGGGTGCCTGCCGATTTAACAGAATTTTGTCAATCATAAAGGTTTCACAGACAGCGAGACTTACTAATCTGATATTTTAATGTCCTTTTGCTTTTCAGTCCTCCCTAACTTAAAAAAATGCATCGCTTGGAAATTACTTGGCGATGTGTCTGACCAGCCTTGCCGTTTTCACCGTCAAGTCGACGAAAGGAGAATGCTTACTTTCGTTGGTGGCCGTGGGCAAGGGATGACAAGAAGCCGCTTCCATTGTTGAAGGATATTTTGGTTGAAAAAAGTGATAAAGCTATTTTTCTACAAGTTTTCTACAGGATTCGGTTATAACTAATGAACTCTCTGCCTATTTAGTGGCCAAGGTCAAACCCCTGCGGGCCTACGTCCCGGCGGATAGACTCGCCACTGGTTCCACAAACGACGTTGTCCACTGAGCGGCCGATTGCTGGCGGTTACCGGTTACCGGCGCTGATGGGCGGAGAACGCAACCTTGGCTGGAACGCTTGTACGCAACACATGACATACACTGCGCTGTTGATTTCACTTCTTGTTTGGTCTGTTGACCGGGACCAGAAGTCAATTGTTGAAAAGGCTTTAAAAGCATGCGGACACATGGCTCGCACTCCAGAGCGCGTGGTTACGAGAACGTACGAGCCAAACTTGCTGGTCTAGACTTCCTTCATGTCCGTCGTTTGAATGGCTCGGTTTTGTGTTGGCAGCGCAAAGTACAGATTTGGGCCAGTTCCAATCCATCACGACCCAGCTCCGACCCATCGAGACCCAGCTCCGACCCATCGAGGCCCTGTTCCAACCCATCCAGGCTCAGTTCCGATCCATCGAGACTCAGCTCCGACCCATCAAGACCGAGCTCCGACCTATCAAGACCAAGCCACAATCCATCAAAACCCAGCTCCGACCTATGCCTTGCAGTAGTTTCGCAATTAGCTAAGTTAGCATTTGCTATGTCAGTGTAGCGGAGAACGTATATTCTCCCTTTTCACTGCAAAATTGTAAAATTCACACCTCATGGCGCCTTTCGGTAAATTTGTCAAAAATTTACGGTTTGTTCAACTTGAAAACTTTTGCACTTTTCAAACATTAACATATTTCTGCTAACTGCCTTGACCATAGTGATATTTACGACCTAGTTTTTAGACTTAACTAAGTAAAACATTAGCAACGTCTTCGACAACCTGTAATGAGGTTCGGCTAGTCAGATGGCGCATCAGCGCAGACAACGGGCATGGGCTTCTGTAGCTTCCTGCACCAGCTACCACCATAATGCTACTATTTCATAGCATTACATGACCTTATGCATCCTTTGTCAGACCAATCACTCAGACGTGGCCTGTAGAGCTAACAGTGCAGCGAGCTGGATTCGAACCCCGGGTTCGGCGATCCGTGTGCGCCCGAACTCAGCTGGCGCCGTTTTCCAGCGGACGTGGCGGACGCTGAATCGGCTGTCAGCTGCTCGTCAACGTCGGCCATCAGCGTCGGCGTCGGCGTCATCCTCAACGGACGACGACCTTCCGCAGCAGATCGACGGCTCACACCTCTTCCTGCTGCAGCAGGTGAGCACTAAACTTTGATCTCACCAGCTCACTTCAAGTGAGCTCAAGTTTCGTCCGGTCCGGTCAGATCCGATTCGATCCGATCCGATCCGATCCAATGCGTTCCGGTCCGGTCCGGTCCGGTCCGGTCCGGTCCGGTCCGGTCCGGTCTGGTTCGGTCCGGTCCGGTCCGGTCCGGTTCCATCCCATCCCATCCCATCCCATCCCATCCCATCCCATCCCATCCCATCCCATCCCATCCCATCCTATCTCATCCCATCCGATCCCATCTCATCCCATCCGATCCCATCCGATCCGATCTTATCCAGTCTGGTCCGATCCGGTCCGGTCAGGTCAGGTCAGGTCCGGTCCGGTCCGGTCCAGTCGTGGCACAGCGTAGCACAGTGTACGCCAATGCAGTTTTGTCAAGTTTTCCGCCGTTCTGCTTCTACATGGACCGTTTACCATCCCGCGACATGGCTTAGCTTTGATTCAACTCAAAGACACCGGTGGGCTCAGTGGAAAGAGCACATGAGGAACACAGCGCTACAACACGCGGTGCCGTCGGATAATTCTGGTCTGCGCAAAAACGGCAGTTAGTTTATTTTTGAAAGCGCATCTGCAAGTAAAAACATGTTATCGCGGACAACTTTAAAAGAACACCATGAGAAAGGACCAAAAAAGCGCCCATAGAAATTGTCGGTTTTTCCGCACACTTGAATTAACAAGTCACCTTGCGGCGAATTAAAGTAACACAAAATAGCCAGCCTGTCCGCCCCAGCAGTGATTCTGATGAGTCCAGTATGGCAGCGGCTCTCACGTCATAAAAGCGTTCCGTGACGAAATGGAACGATTTGCTGGAATGGTGGCATGGTATTAGCTAGAGAAATATTTTGCACTTAAAAGCATGACATTGATAACAAGTAAGCTGCCCTCATTATATATGATGCTTGCCTCTCTATCATGAGATATGGAACATACCCTTTAGGTATAAACTTAGATAATGTCTGCAAGCTTACAGTGAATGCTTCACATTTGAAGGTATTGAGCCAAACATCAAATATGATGAAACAAGCTTACTTATTGGTAAACGTTTAATACAGAAGGCTGCTCGAGACGACACAATTTCTCTGTTTGGTAAATAATCTCTTCAATGTTCCATGGTTTCATTACGTCATCTTACCTTGAACAACTTTGACCGAGAGTCCTTTCACGGTCGTTATATTGTAGAAATAAAAATTGTAGGAATTGTGCTTACGAACATATACGAATGACATGAACAGATATGAACAGGTTTGAACGACTCGACAATTATATTTTTCTCGACGGCGATCGGCGCATGGCCCATGGAATGACGATATTTAGAAGACATTATTATGACGTCAGGTATACCTGGGTGACCTTGAAACTGTCTCCTTGAAATAGCCTGGCCATTTAAGGGGGCCTGCAGCTCGGAAAACTGACGGGTTTACGTCTTCAGGAGGGCAGAGCTGTGAGCTGCACCGAATACTCTTTAAGATGGCCGGACAGTCCTGCGCGTGAGCTCAGCTAGAGAACTTAGTTTGTGGGCAACCGATCCTCGGTTTGTTTGACCCTCGGATCCTTGCAGGTTTGGCATATTATCGCATATTATCGCACATATTCGCATACAATTTAGAAGTCCACTGACAGTGGACACGCACGTCCTTATCTGGTATTTTACAACGTTCGCGCTGATGTGGAATGCAAATTGTCTGGTCGCATTACATTTGTAGTTGGTGCAGATGTGAGGAATATGGTGGAAAAGGTGAAATATTAAAGTTGCTGAGAGCCGATTCGATGTCAGCTGAACACGCGAACAAACACGCTATCACAGTTTCCAACAAAAATTAACTGACTTCGTGACTGGTGAGCCAAATACGCATCAACATTTCCGTTAAATGTCGGGCTCATGGTGCTGGTAACGATGTTTGTTCCGGTGAGCCACCAGGCCAATGGCTCATAGCTACAACGGGAAACCAATTCTGGATTCGGGAAGATGGCGAGGTGCATTTCCTGCTGATTTGGGGAGATGGTGAGGTGGTTTTCCTGCAGACTTGGCAAGATAGTGAAGTGGTTTTCCTGCTGACTACGTGCGCGTGAAATTGCTTGGACATTCGAAGGAAGCGCACTGGCTCGGACACAGCTTTCTGGGATTAGGACCACCGCGGGAGCCGTGTATAATTTAATAGGTGTATGATATCATATCGCTTCAGCAACCAACCTTAGAACACAATCACTCCGGCTAAAAACTGTGATACCTGTCCGTGACTCTTCCGCATTTCGAAAGGCCTCCATGCCACTGTTGACAGTGAGCTCGCTCGAGCGACAGCTCTTTACTTAGGTGTGATGCTGCGTAATCGACCAGCAGCACAGGACATCTTTATATCTTTGATGGTGACAGCAGCAGCACATAGTGCTAACCGGGCGCCGCCGGCTGAGAACTGAGGTGCCTCAGTTGGGTTCTGCAAATGCGGCGTCAGCTGCTCACTAGGCACCGGTGAGTTCAGCAGTGTTAGCAGCACTTGTGCAGGATGGACATTTTTCTTGGAGGAAAATTTTACGCGCTGATAAACACAGAAACGCATCTGCGACCAGAACTGGTCTGCTATGAAACACCAAATATCACTTGGATTACATTCCTGACCCGTTAGACTACGCAAATACAACACCCGTTAGCTATGTCTGCCTTAGTCCAAATAAAATCTAGTTCCAAGCATCATAAAACTAGCATGTGCTTCAAAGAGAAAAGTGATCTTTGGCACTCTGGGGTGGTGTTATTCCACGTCATCGAAAGACAACACCCCTGGGAGGCGAGCCGGCACGCCAAATCCCTTCACGTCACGTCCCAGACAATTGTAGCAAAGATGAACGCTAAATGCTCGTTGATCAACATTTACTAATATCTGGCAATGGAGGCACGCTCCCAACGGACCATTTCACACAACATGCTGTGCTGCCCGTGTTGCATGCTGCCCCAAAAAGAATGCACATTTTAAGTCAGGGCGAGGGTTATCTATTAGTCGTCAGCGTCGTATGTAAAACTAACAGGAAGGTCATATGGCAAAGCCCATACGTTAAAAGAAAGAAGTTGTAATAATAATGCATTAACAAGCAGCAATAAAAAAGTATATCGACGAGAACGAGGTGCTCACGGTTGAAACGGTGTGATAGCTGGATAAACACTGTCTTTCACACCTGACGTCGTGCTCGCCTCTTCTTCAGGAAGACCATTCCAGACAGCCGCAACTGGATACTGCAGGGAGTGTTTGACCAGGCCAGTTATCACTGTTGGCAAACCCAGCGCGCTGTGTTTGGCTCTGGTTTGTCTATGGACGACTGGTTCAGTTGATGGCGAATTTACGAACTTACAAATTTACCTAGCGAGCTTACGGCCCTTTCTTGAACAAAATAATAGGGCAATAGATGATAATATCTTGCATCGTATGACAGCTTTCTCCAATTCATTTTACATGATTTCAGGAAACGTATTGATGTTTTATGCTGAATCCGCTTAACCCTTCAAAGTATATGCATTATTTCACAGCAGACCCTTGCATAACGACCACCATAATATCCCGACCCATACGAGCCCTATTGCAGTGATAAGCCTAGCCATATTATAAGGTATGGATTGAGATGACACATTGATATCACGAATTGGATAGTTGTTCCAGTATCTTTGTCGTATTGTGTGTTAGTTTCGGTCACTTAAATCGCCAGCCGTTGTCAGATGTTATGAAGTCCTCAGAAAGACGGGACGACATTTGGCTTTCGGCCATATAGACGCTATAACCCGAATTTGCTACTCGGAGTTGCCGGGATTCGATCCGGGGATCCTTTGATTGGGATTCCAGCGCTCGACCAACTGAGCTTACTGGGAAGTAAGGCCACTAGGCGTTGAACGTTGTTGTCATTAATTTATTCGGGTATTTTTCAGCAGAACTTTGAGCCGTATTGGGGTGATGTTTACACTTGGCTTGTTGATCGCGGTTGTTAGCTAGTGCCGTCTGAGCTACCAAGTTGATGTTTCCAATTTTCCAGTGTTGCTCTCCGTCGATAATAGTTATCTCACCCCCGCGCTGGTGGGTGATCGCTGTCTGATGACGCATCCTCTGCCACACCAGACTTGAGAGTCTCACCCCCGTGTGCTGTCTTTCTGTGCTCTTCCAGTCTGACGGCATATCGAATATGAGTTCTTCGTGTGTTCCTTAGGTGTTGGAGGCCCGACTTTGTTAAGTGCTCTTTGGAACGTTGAGATGCTTATCAAGACTTTCCTGATGCTCTATAGTCGACATTTTATTCTAATCTTCTCCATGGAGCCCTTGTGTGATAATGCTATCGTTGCTGTGCGTTCTCCCCTTGACTGCCCTGCTCATCCAGCACACTCTTTGGGCTTCTGTGCGATGACGTCTTTTATATACCGGTTCCTGCGCAACGTCTCGGCTAGGTGGCTTATTTCCTTTTTGAAAAAGTTGTTCTTAGCTGTTATGAGTTGTTCTATCGCCGCCGTTTCAAATGTCTTAGTTGTTTTTAACAAGGGTATGTTGTTATTATTTTTTATTTGTGTCATCTTCGTCGATATAGTTGTAAAAACTGCACATACGACATACTCTGCACCCGTGGAAAGTCCTTTCAAGAAGCGACCAGCCGCTTTCTGTCGGTCGGACTGGAAGAGTATGGAAAGGCAAACGTCCGTGGTGAGACTCTAAAGTCTGCTGAGGCAGAGCATACATGGTCAGACAGTGATCACCGACCAGCATGAGATCAGACAGAGCTAACTTTCCAGTGCTCTCTGCCATCATAGACAGAGAGCACTGGAAAGTTGGAAAGCTCTAGGAGGCAGCACGGGTCCGAATCGTGCCCACAGTTAATTATAACCACAGTTCATAATGTCCCCACAATAGTTTTACCCACGTCTGCTAGCGTGCGGTGCCTTGCCGTTGAGGTTGAAAGGGTTGCGCGTGAGACCGTGATGCCATTTCCTGCTGAATCGTATACAT